GTATCGGGTCATATGTCTGTGGTTTTCAGGTTGGGAATGGCAGATGAAGGATCTTTACTGGTGTTAGAGCATGTTTTGCCTACTGTGGCCCCCCTGACGCCTACCAAGTGTCCAGGTCACCCGGTCGGCTCCATTTAGACGTCTTCCTTATCAAAGATGAAAGTGCAGAAGTACATGTAAATCCATGGCTAATTCAATGTATGACAAAAACCACTGCAATGTTGTAAAGTAATTATCCTCCAACTAATAAAAATAAATGAAAAAAAAAAAAAAGAAGTAGAGCTTGACAAATAAGTCTCTTGAATGCTGCTAGAATGTTTATTAATATACTTTTATTTCTTGTCCATCTTTGTTCCCTCTTTTTAAAAAAAAAAATATTTATTTACTTCCGGTTTTCTGGGTCTGTGTTGCTGCGCTTGGGCTTTCTCTAGTTGTGGCTAGTAGAGACTCCTCTCTGGTGGTGGCGTGCGGGCTTCTTGCGGTCGCTTTTCCCGTGTAGAGCACGGGCTTCAGGGCCCACGGGCTCAGTAGTTACAACTTTGAGCTCCTTCCTCGTTTTAACCATTTGTTGATCCTTTCCTGGCTGACCACTCCAGCCGTTCTCAGCCAATGATCTCATCTCTATCTTGCAATAAAATAGCAGGTATCAACAAGAATCCACTCCACTCCCTCCCAGAAGCCACATTTATCCATATTCACACTCATTTTTCAAGGTACTCACCTGTACCTTGGCCACACATAGTCTGTATATGGGCATCTCAGGCTCATTGTGCCCCGCCTGCATTTGCACCACTGCACGCCCACCCGACCCTGGACGAGAAGGGGTCTTATGCCTGTCCCTCTGTTGTTTTGCACCTGCTGTTGATTCTGCCTGATTTTTAATAAATCTTACCAGCTGCTTCTGCTTTTCTCTGCTTTTGTCACTTCTGGGACACTTTGTTCCGCTTTGCCTTTGGGGCTGTTCTGTGTTAGCCCGATGCCATAGCAGCTCGCGTGTTGCCTGATGGTTCTCCCTTCAGTCACCTGTCATCTCTGTCGGAGTCCTCACCAGGCCAGGACACCCCTTCCCTCTCTGGTGCTCAGCAGGAGTGCCAGCCACAGGGGAGGGGCTCAAGGGAGGCGGTGGTGTTGGGTTGTTGTTTTTTTTATGTAGTAAAAATTACTTTTTTTGTTGTTAAGAATGATAGTTGCTTTCTTAATTTCTGAATTTATTAATTCACGAGAATTGTAATATCTCATTTTGCTACTTATAACTAAAATCATCTCAATTTTTGTTTTGTATTGTTTGTTTGTTTGAATCTTATCTGCTTCAATCTTATCTTATGTTTCTCCTCCTTGCATTGGTCATTAGAAGATCATAGTTATGTTAGCAACCCACTTTCAGCTACTGCAAGAGACATTGTGGCTTTCCCATATGTTCCAAGGATATTTTTCATGTTTATTCTTCCTCTGCCACTATTTAATGAGTATTCCTTTTATATTTATCTGTTTTCAAAAATTCTGAATACATACCTCTTCAATAAATACTCAGTTCCTCCATTGTGAAAAACATTTAAAAATCTCAGGTGACCATGTACAAATTGTATAAGCCTACTTCTGTGTTCAAGCTGGTTTTAGAAAAGGCAGAGGAACCAGAGATCAAATTGCCAACATCTGCTGGATCATCGAAAAAGCAAGAGAGTTCCAGAAAGGCATCTATTTCTGCTTTGTTGACTATGCCAAAGCCTTTGACTGTGTGGATCACAGTAAACTGTGGAAAATTCTGAAAGATATGGGCATACCAGACCACCTGACCTGCCTCTTGAGAAACCTATATGCAGGTCAGGAAGCAACAGTTAGAACTGGAAATGGAACAGACTGGTTCCAAATAGGAAAAGGAGTACGTCAAGGCTGTATATTGTCAGCCTGCTTATTTAACTTATATGCAAAGAACATCATGGGAAATGCTGGGCTGGAAGAAGCACAAGCTGGAAACAACATTGCCGGGAGAAATATCAATAACCTCAGATATGCAGATGACACCACCCTTATGGCAGAAAGTGCAGAGGAACTAAAAAGCCTCTTGATGAAAGTGAAAGAGGAGAGTGAAAAAGTTGGCTTAAAGCTCAACATTCAGAAAACTAAGATCATGGCATCTGGTCTCATTACTTCATGAGAAATAGATGAAGAAACAGTGGAAACAGTGTCAGACTTTATTTTTTTGGGCTCCAAAATTACTGCAGATGGTGATTGCAGCCATGAAATTAAAAGATACTCCTTGGAAGGAAAGTTATGACCCACCTAGATAGCATGTTAAAAAGCAGAAGCATTACTTTGCCAACAAAGGTTCGTCTAGTCAAGGCTATGGTTTTTCCATTGGTCATGTATGGATGTGAGAGTTGGACTGTGAAGAAAGCTGAGCACCGAAAAATTGATGCTTTTGAACTGTGGTGTTGGAGAAGACTCTTGAGAGACCCTTGGACTGCAAGGAGATCCAACCAGTCCATCCTAAAGGATCAGTCCTGAATATTCATTGGAAGGACTGACGCTGAAGCTGAAACTCCAATACTTTGGCCACCTCATGTGAAGAATTGACTCATTGGAAAAGACCCTGATGCTGGGAGGGACTGGGGGCAGGAGGAGAAGGGGACGACAGAGGATGAGATGGCTGGATGGCATCACCAACTCGATGGACATGAGTTGGAGTATAACTCCGGGAGTTGGTGATGGACAGGGAGGCCTGGTGTGCTGCGATTCGTGGGGTCTCAAAAAGTCGGACACGACTGAGTGACTGAACTGAACTGACTCCTACAAAGACATTGTCATCCGTTTGAATTAATATTTGTCTCAGACAATTAAATGCATTATACTTTAACTTGCTGTTTAGGTAGTTTTGCTTTTCTAAATTAAATAAATTGAGGTACGGTATTTAGATGCTTCTTCAAAGAGAATAACCAAGGTCATCACTTTAAAATCTTGTCTAAAATCAGTGACAGTAAAACACAGAAGCCCATTTGTCTCCAGATCTTTTCTCTTACCCCTTGATCACATTTCTCCACTCCAAGAGATCTGTGGTAATCATTAAATTGATTATCATTGATAATACTGATGTTCCAGAAATAGATTATATCCTCGCTCTTTTAAATGTTAACGAAATATCAGTAAATGCAAAGTCACTGTAATTGATTACCCCCAGAAACTTAGAACTCAGTTGTAGAGCAGAATTCACACTTTCATGGATATAAATGTCATTGAGCAGCATATGTAATTTGATCTTACAGAATGATCATTTCTCTGGACCTTTTTCACTTCCAAAATAGCTTTGAAATAACCATCGTGTACTTATTATCACATCTGCACAGTGTCCTTAGAATGTCCCTGTAGCACCAGGAGGATGACTTTAACTCTTGTCGCATTGTCTTTCTGCTGTTGAGCTATGACCATTCTTCATCAGTTCATCTATTCTGGATGCTCGACCGTTATCAGATGTGTGATTTGCAAATATTTTCTCCCACACTGTGGATTGTCTTCACTTTCTTCCTAATGTTGTTTGACAGAGAAGTTTTTAGTTTTGATGGAGTCCATTTTATCTGCATTTTTTGCGTTGTTTTGCTTTTGTTAGCATGTCTAAGAAACTAATAACTAAGATAACAGAGACTAACTGCTCTTGAACCTCACTAGTGAAATTTTCATTTCAGTTATACTTTGTACTTCAAGAATTTCTTTTGATTTTTTTCTGTATTAATATTCTCTGTTTTGGTGAGGCATTGTTCTCATACCCTTCTTTAGTTTTTTCCATGCAATCTATCTTTTCGTTCCTTGAATACACTGCAGATAACTGATCTATGTCTAGTAAGTGCACTGTCTCTGTTTCTGCAGGGACAGTTTCTATTGACTACTTTTTCCCTTGTTTACAGACTATACTTTTGCATTTCTCTGTACATTGCGTATTTTCATTTATTTAAAACTGGACATTTAATAAATAATATTTCCGTGTGGGAATCAAATTCTTCACATTTTGGGCTGGGACTTTAGTTACTTTTCCAAATTTATATTGTAAAGTCAGTATTTATCCTTCATTGCCATGGAAGTGTCTTCTCTGTTAGTGTAGTGCTTAGCTGATGACTGAACAGAGATTTTATCAAATGCTTAGAAACTAAGTCCCTCATCTTTGCCAAGAGCCTGTGAGTACATGTTGGAGTATGTCTTCAACACTCAGCCAGTCAGTTTGCAACTAACTCTGGCTTAGCCTTGACTGTTCTTCTTACACTGAACTTCAAGGTCAGCCAGAGGAGAGCACTCAGGACCTTCTCAGGTCTGTCCTAGGCAGCTGTATGACATGGTACCTAATTCCAGAACTACTAATTTCCAGCTTTGCAAAGCCCAAATGGATCTCGCATTCCTCTACTTTTCCTTGTAGACTGTTGTTTGCACCCATTTTCCTCCACACCTCAAGCAGCTGAGATCATAAACAGTTGCCCCTAGTTATTTTCTCAGAGATCCTCAGGGAGAAGGCTTTGTACACTGGATGAGCTCCAAGTGGGGTCCGATAAAGACAGTCGTTTGGGAATGGGGTTTGGAAAGCGCTCCACCCTGCCCGCCCCTACCAGTAGCCTCAGGCCTGCTACTTTCCTGCTTGATTGATTGGGGCTCCTACAGAGCTAGGGTGAGAGATGGGAATAGAACAGGTTAAAACATCAGAGCTCACCGTTCTTTCCAAGATACAGCCAATTTTTTAAAAATAAATGCTCCCTACATCTCTGTCAGCCTGTGGTTAATTTCCAGAGTTCTAAAAATGTTCATTCTGACAGTTTTTGCCAGTTTCTCTTTGCTTTTTCAGAGGGAATTTTTGGAGATTCTTACTCTGTCATTTTCACTGATGTCACTTTTATATTTTTCTTTACATTATAATTAGATATAGAGTTCAATGGTAGCTGAATTAATAAAGATTCACTGAAACTGGAATGCTTCTTTCTTTCCAGAAACTTCTCTGAACTTTTTGTCCTTCTGTTGTATTTTAGGACTATGATGACGGATATGGCACTGCTTATGATGAACAGAGTTATGATTCCTATGATAACAGCTATAGCGCCCCAACCCAAAGGTAAGCGTCACTGTTTCTGAACAGACCCCACAGCAGACACTTGTGCTGTCCACAGTTTATAGCCTCTCGGAGAAGGATGACAACTGGCCAGGGAGGGCGACCCGACTTGGCCTTTGTTTTGTTTTAATTGGGAAAACTGTCTGTCCTACCAACCAGCATGTATTGCGCTCAAATTTACTGTAGTGCTAAAGCAATGCGTCTTGGAAAATAAAATGTGAAACTTTTATTTTCTCTAAAAATGTAGTTTAAGCATTCGGTGTATTCTAAGGAAGAACAGTGTGTGCCAGGTCTGTGGCTCTCGAGTCCAGAGGCTCCAGATTACCTTAGAAACATGTGACTTTCCTGCTTCGTCAGTGCAGGGGATGGGAGTGATGGAAGTTTTGTTCGGTGTTCATAAATCATTTCTGCTTCTTAGCAATAGTGCTCTTGTTTTCTAACAACTTCGGATTCCCGTTTGTGAAAAATGAGTGGGTTCTGATTCGTTTTCTGAAAAACTGTTTATTTAGAAACGAGTGTTATCAGAGGGGAAACACAGCTTTATAGTCATGGCATAGTAGACCTTGATGTTCATTAGTGTATGAAACCTGTGTGTTCTGTTCAGAATCTTTTCCTAAATCCCGAGAAACCTCTTGCTTTATGCTTAAAATTCTAAGTGGAAGAAAAAGATAGACACACACAAGCCAAAATGTTGGCTGTATGAGGCATAAACTTCAATAAATATGGACTACATAGGTTTTTTGATGAAGCATAAATTCACTCTTGAGCTCATGTGGGGCAAGGCAAGCTTTAAGCAGGTCAGCACTTGGGTCCTGAGGTGGGCAGGGATGTACTTTCTTCTCATTTTGTTCATGCCAGGTTTTTCTCCAGTATGGTGTATCAGAGATTAGTAGCCTTTAAACTTTGACTCCCAGCTGGTCTCCTTTCCAGGAAGCCTCGTGCATGGTGTTTGCATCCTTGAAGGTGTGGGCACACCTGTAGCGGCTTGCACACAGTGAACAGCAGACAAGACTGTGTGTTTCTCCTCAGTGTTCTGGCAGTTTTATGAAGTATGAGGGGCTGTTCCCATTACATAGATGAAGAAAAGAAGCGCAGAGCATAAGTTTAAGTAATTAGTCAAAAATCATACATGGAGTACAATCCTTTACTCACATGTCTTGTTTAATCTGAACGGCAACACGGGAGTTAACATGTCTGTCATACGGATGATGAAACCGAGGTTGAGAGAAGTAAATAGCTAATGCAGAGTGTGAAGCTGACTTGGAGAGCTTGAGGTCTGCCCATATTAAACTGTGATAACTACTAGAGTGGATTGCCATGCCCTAAAAAATAAAGAAAAAAAATAAATAAATAAACTGTGATAACATAGTAATATGATTGATCACAAGCATTCATTCCTGTGGTCATTTATTCAGCCAGTATGTATTAAATGTCCACTACATGTTTTAAATGTAGGCACTGTGATCAATGTTGGATTACAAAGATTATTGAGACAGAGACCCTCTCCTTGGGAGGTTCACAGGCTAGAATGAAATACAAATATTTAAAAGCAATGTGATATGGTAACCACATGAGGGTTTGAGAGAAAATAGTGCTAAGAAGACAGTGCTGGAGTCTGATGGGGAACACGGGGGACATTTCACTGAGAGAGTGAAGGGCTAGTAGGGGTCACGAAGGTATGGAGCCCGAAGGACGTCACCCAGAGCCAAGCACAGCATGGAGCGTGTTGTCTGGGCTTGATGGCGTGACGCGCAGGAGAGGAGGCGAGAGGGCGGTGACCGCATCCTCCCGGGCTTGGGGCACAGGCTCCAGACCGTCAGCAGCACTAGGGAGCCACCGACAAGGTGCAGGTTAGGGAGTGGCGTGTTCACACTTGGGTTTGAAGATTTAACCAGAAGGCCGTGTAGAGGCCAGGTTCATGGTGAGCCTGGAGGCAGAGACCAGTTAGGTGGCACCTTATAAATTATAAGCACTTCAAACATCAGGGAAGACTCACTTAAAAGGAACATCTTACCGATAGCCCAGCCACCTTCTTGGTCGTGATCTTTTCAGTGCTACAACTCATCTTACCTGAAGGACTGCAGAGAATTGTGTGAGAATTGCACGTGCTGGCAAATGCAGAAATCACTGTTGGTCAGGTACTTTGAATATTCATTTAATCCTCATAACCTATGAAATAGGCATCAGTCCTTTTAAAGAAAGAAGACTGGTTTATAAAAATTAGGTAAACTTGCCTAAGATCATGCATCTTACAAGCTAAGGGGCCCAACTTCGGACCTCAGTCTGTCTGTCTTCCTCTTCAGCAATTACCCTAAGTCTTGATGAAGCAACTGCGTTACGGAATATGAGGAGGAAGTGTTTCCAGGAGCTGTGTTAATTTGCTAGAGTTACCATAACAAAATGCCACAGACTATTTTAAACAACAGACACTTATTTTCTCAGGTCATAGAGCCTAGAAGTCCGAGATGAGGGTGTTGGCAGGTCTGGTCTCTTCTGAGGCTCCCTCGTGGATGTGCAGCTGGTGCTAGCATGCTGGTCTTCACACAGCCTCTCCTCTGTGGGCACGCACCCCTGCTGCCTCCTTGTACCAGGTTTCCTCTCTTACAGTGACACCAGTCAGACTCACCGAGGGCCCACGGAAGCCCTCCTTTGACTTCATCACCTCTTTAAAGGTCCTGTGTCTGAACACACATTATAGGTACCGGGGTAGGGCTTCAATTTATGATTCTGGGTGGACAGGTCAGTTCATAATGTGTACATATTGTAACATTGGCTTAAGTACAATGCTGTATGTCTCGGAATTAGAAATCTAGTCTAAGCCAGTTAGAGAAAATTTTGAAATCATGTCCCAAATCGAATAGTGGGTACTGACCAGTGAATCTTCATCATTCTCATTGTCAGTACTAAAGGCTGGATGCGTGCTTGGTGTACTGGACCGTGGGCTTCACAGAGACTCTGCTCATTGTGCCCTGAGATGCTGCAGAATCCAAGTCTGAGCATGTCATTCCTGCAAGCAGGCTCAGAGAGGTCGGCTCCCCTGTCTTAACTCACAGGGCTGAGCAGTGGTAGACCCTCACTGACCCCAAGCATTCTCTTCGGTACTCTGCTCCATCATCTTGCAGCTCGCCTTTCGTCATGGTTCTGACTTCAGTTATTTAAATATGTTGACATTTCCCATATGCGTGCATGCCCAGTCACTCAGTCGTGTCTGACTCCTTTGTGACTCCATGGACTGTAGGTCCACCAGACTCCTCTGTCCATGGGATCATCCCAGCAAGAATACTGGAGTGGGGTGCCATTTCCTCCTCCAGGGGATCTTCCCGACCCAGGGATCGAAGATCGAACCCAGGTCTACTGTGTCTCCCACACTGGCAGGAGGATTCTTCACTTCCATCAAACCTGAGAATTCCATTTATCTTCATGCTAATGTTGCAGGCTAAAACTAGATGTCTACACTTCATGTGCTGTATCATTTTATCACACTTTTGTTGCAGGGAAAAAGTTTCTCTCAGGAGGTTTACAAATTAGGAATTTTCTCTATCAATTTTCAAATACCTTGTATGAAAATTAGGCTACAAATGAGAGTCCCTACAGAGTTCTAGAAAATTCAGCATAATTCAGCTACGTTTCCCATCAATGTTTGTAATGACCTCGTACCTCAGTGTAAAACGAGCGTTGTTTACCTGACTTCACACACTTAATGAGCAACAAGCTGTCACCTATTTCTGTGAAGAAAAATATGAACTGTTCTTTACAATATTAGCATTATTATAATATACATCGGCATAAAAATAGTTACTGATTCATCCCTGTGTGCGCACGGCCCTGGAGTAGCTGTGAGGAGTAAAGGAGCGGATGATAAATGGCCTCAGTGCTCAACCTGCACCTGCCCTGGTGTGACCCGGGCCTTCTCAACTAAGCGGGATTAGTTTTCATTTGATGTCTTATTTGTCATTCTAACAACAGTCATAATTTTATAGCATGATGACTGTAGTTAATAATATAGTATTGAGTTTGGAAAATTTGCTAAGAGAGTAAATTTCAGATGCTCTCATCACACACACCATAGGTAACTATGTGATGAGATCTGTTAGTTACCTTGACTGTATTCAAATTTCAGAATATTTTAGTCTGTGTTTCTGAATATTTGTAAATTCTCTAAAAAATATTTGATTCCTCTAATGATCAATTGTAAGGAAAGTGGAACAAAAAGGGTTTCCAAAAAGTGCTAATAACCCCCTAAGCATAAGTGGATGACTGTGTAGTAACAGTTATTTTCTGGGGGGTTTAATGTTGACGTACTAATTTCCCATAGCAGTTTGTGGTTTGATGGTACTTTTACGTACTTATTTCATTTCATCCTCCACAATCTCTGTGATTTTCCTGAAAACACTTAGAAATACTGAAAAAAGTTAGACATAAGAGCTGCTAGTTTGGGCAGAATCTATTAAGTCTTGCACTCAGCCGTCTATGTCCTTTATATGCGTTACCTCCAGTTTTCACAATGGCCCTACCTGCTGAGTTTTTCCATGTATAGAAGTTGAAGATGTGATGTTTAGCAACTTTCCCAAGAATACACTGCTGAAGAGTACTTAAGCTTAGGTTTTTGTCTGTCTAAAAACCATTATCCAGCTAAGAAAAAATTTTAGAATACAAAATTATTGACTTGTTTTTATGACAAAACAACACCTAAGCGCTTTTATCCAAATAGGCAGAGTAATGGAGGCTGTCAAGAAGCTCCACATATTCTAGCTGTGTTTTCAGACGCCAGTTGCAAGGAGAACAGTGAGCCGGAAGTTAATGCTGCCGTCTCCCTGCTCTCTAGTTTGCTGTGCTTCTCTTGGCAGCTTTAGCATTACATGTGCAGTAATGTCTTCTCAGGAGCTGACTTGAGAGATGTGAATATAATTTGTGATTTTCACCTTGGAAATGATGACCTGTTGTTCAGCTTAGGATCTAGCATTTCAGCATCAGTGAAATCACTGTGTATTGGAAGAGAGCGT